ATTTGGTACTCGGCCTAAAATGCTAGTAGGGCGCTATAGTGGGGAAATGGCGAAAGAACGGAGTGAAACGGTCAAAATCCTGCGAAGAAAAAGCCTCCGTTCTCTGACTTGAAAATCGATTTCGGACGAGTTTCCCGTAGGCATCTTGCCAATCACCGCTACCGAAGATACGGCTGCATGTGTACTCATATATCATGCAGCACCGCCGCCGCTTCATACCAATCCCTTCGCTTCATAATTTGCTTAGCAAATGAATCAATACGAGGAACGGTCGTCCATTTGTGGGCGGGCGGGCGTGGTGGGCGTTCGGGTCGGTATGTTGTAGCTTGATAGGGCCCTTATAAGGGTACCTTCCTTGGAAAGGCGCTACGCAGCGCCTGCTCAGGGTCGCGGAATTCCGTCCTGCCAGGCGTATTAATCCTACTCGTCTTTAGGGATTTATCGTGCCAGCTGCCTTTAAAGGCACGGTCCGCGAGAAAAACCTTAGGTGATTTTGCAAAAATGTTGGAGAAAAGTCGCCAAGTGAACCATTCGTCAGGCCTCCTCTAGCCTCAAACAACTGTAGAGGTAAAAGACCGAAAAGACCGCGCGCTGGGACAATTCCCGTCGGCTGATTCCCAGTAATGAACCCTATGACTCTACAAGAGACATTGAATGCATCCACTCCATGATACTTGCCCGGGAGCATTACTTTTGGCTGGAAGGCCGACTTTGGAGGCGGAGTCACTGGAAAAAGGGATGTACCACTGAAGCAACTTTGCGCCTTAATCCCTTTACCGTACAACTTTCCGCCGCGAAACTGGCACAGGGTTGTCCACTCCGGACCGCACTACCTTCCCACATACCTCTTGCATTTTCATAAGTCATCGCGGATCGCTCCTTTAAATATTAATCAAGTGTCAATTCCGGAGCAACATTGTTCTTCCTTTTACAGGGAGCTGAGGTAGTTGGTTCACTGATCGTGTCTCAGTTGAAAATACTCAAGTTACATTTCGTAGAACAACGTTTTTCCAGAGCGTACTACATAAGCTGTTTGAGAATGTTTGATAGCATTGAGCATCCCCCATTAGTCGTAAATAAGTACAATGCTCTAGACCAGAGACGTAGAGGTAAGCTGCTCCGGACTGTAATGAGAACACTGTCCCTTACGAACCTTCATCATCGAGGCTCGCTTGGGTTTATGATTGTCGTTACAGCTACACAGTTTAGCTCTTCATTGGCATTGCACATCGTGGTCGACTGAATCTGCTGACGGAAATGATGCAGTTCCCAGTTGTTCAGATGTTCAGGAAGGTACGTTCTTTACAGAAGAGTTCTCGCTGTTCATTGTCCTTCCCAAGAAACAATTCTTAATCGTTCTGCTTCTAGATGAGAGGCAAACCGGAATTTCCCGACGATGTACGAGGATCTGGCGATGTCCTATCTCATTTCAGTAAGCGCTTCAAAATTTAATTTGTTCTGCAGCAGGAACGCCATTCGCTGTGCTTCTTTCAGCATCGTCATTTGACCATCAGTCTCCTGAGGGGACCGTGCATATCTCGATGCTGCCAAATCCCTCACATCTTGAAGCAGTGAATCCAGTCGCCATGGGCAAAGCCCGCGCTCGTGCCAGGTAGGAGTGCTTATAGTTTGCGAGTCTCTTAGTCCTTTCCTTGCGGTTGCTTTTACTGTAACAATCAAGCTGCAGTAATCGCTGCTTTTAAGGACTCCCCGCGCTCGAGCAACTTGTAGGCGTCCTTTCTTGTACAAGTGGTCTGGCCCTCAGTCTCATTATCCCTTTTCGCGGCTTCACAGTAAGTGACGAAGGCGCTGTGGCCTTCCAAAGCGGGATTTCTGATGCCTCCACGCTGCCCGTCCACCAAAACGTAAAGGTTATATTCTGTCACAAGCTTAGTTCTTAGACCACACTTTCCGTTGTCAGACGGTATTAGTATTAAATTAAATGACGGGCAGAAACGATTATTGAGCTAGAGGTGGAAGAATAAGCAATGGACTGAATTGTCTTCCTGGAATTGAACGGCAAATCGGAAATCTCGTCGGAGAGCTGTCGGTCTTTACCTAGAGTGGTTTGTGTGGTTTTCCGTTTTTTCCTTCCTAGAGAGTTTACCTAGCGACTACAGGTTTGTATTGAGCAGGCACTATGTACAATTTACAATCGCGGGGGTTTGCCTTCAGGGAGGGGTGGGGGATAGTGGAGAAACGTTAGTGGTGGTAGCAGTAATATTCCGATACACCGTTAGCTAGCTATGAGGCATGCTATGGCGGTAAGGCATAGGTATGACAAGGAACACATCCAGCGGAAGCAGCGTTGGTGTACGTGGTGCTCGGCCTTCTCACAGCGAAATGGAACGTCGTTCCATAGGCAGGCGTTCAGACTTTAACGACGGCGCGCTAGCGGTCGCATAATCGACGCCCGATCGATGCTGTCCGAAAGCAAGCGCATCAAATCGCTTCAATGCGCCATACCAAGCGCTGCCGGTTCGTGAATTGTGAACGCTGCCAAGGTGGAAAGGGTGCAGCAATTTCACGAGTTGACTGTATCGGCTAAATGCTAGTTTCTGGCGGGTCGCTATAAGCGGATCTCTCGCAAACCTTACCCTTGATAATCTCGTTGTCCAGCCACGAAGTATTGTACTGGTCCATCTTCAGAGGTACGTTCATACTTTGCGCCAGCTTTTGTAAAGCGATGCAGCGGTTTTTGAACTACTGGTCCGGCGTTTCAGCTCTGGACGCTGCCGTATCCCTAGACAACAGCACCTGACGCACCGGTACGAACGCAACTCTTACATCCAGTTAATGTCACATGGCGTATGGCCCTGGCACCTTTGCTGCCAACAGTGTTTGCCGTGCGTTAGCGCTTCCCTATTGTTTTGAGCAGTGTAAGGTCCTCCGCCCTACTTTTCGAGAGATCTTCATTGAGGTTCATAGTGATAAGTAAATATCAGGTCACTCGGAGTTGGAGACTACTCGACAGATCGAGCTGCAAGGACTGGAGATGGTGTGCTGGCTGTTCTTGTACACGGTGATGGTGCTTTCACCGGACAGGTCTGTTGTATTTCATCTCAACTGCTTTCAGCAGATTTGATAATTCCTCATTAATTTCTTGCTGCAGGGTATTGTTTGGGAATCCATTTCGCTCGGTCAAGTGCCACATTTTCGTCTTGGAGGCTCCATTCACCTGGTCACGAACAATCAGGTGGCCTTCACTGCCGAAGCACACATAGGACGGTCGACGTTGCATTGCACTGGTAGGTTTAGAAATATTGAATCCAGCCATATTATGGAGCGGTTTGTGTTTAGTCACCATGGACGCTGTGAGACCTTTTGATCTCCCTGAGGGCAGGAGCAGCCCACTTCAGTGAGGCAGCTTCCTTCTCCCTGTCGAAAGAGAATGAATTTTGCGGTCTAACGTGCGGTGCAGTATGGGTTTTGGTTTTAGCGCTGCGTATGGTTTTGGTTTTAGCGCTGCTAGGATCTCGTCCGTCGCTCGGAACAAATAAATCAGGCAAAGTTTGTTCCGAGTGACGGACGAGACCCTAGCATGCAAGCCGAGACTCTATACTATACCGATTATCACCGCGCCATTTTCGAAAAATGGGCGGTCCTGTGGGCGGGGGCTCACGTATCGACGGCAAAAGCCAAATTTTGAAAATACCAAAATTCCGCGAAAAGCAAGGTGGGCGTGGTCTAGGGGGCGGAAGGCCTGTGATCGCAATACCCTCTAGAGGAACCATACCTAGTATAAACCCAAACCCGATATATTATATACAACATACATATACATATACACATTACAGCATAGGTATCGATTTAGCGTTTTCAGGTATATACACATATAGTATACTTGAAAACGCTACCATCGAGTACCTATGCTATCCTTGCCTCGTAAGGGCTAGCGGAGCGTTAGTGACGCTAGATCGATGTCCATTCGTTCTCTTGCACAGCCTGCTTGCCGAACGCTGAACGCTAGCGCACGGGCATAGTGAATGGCACGCCTCAGACTTGCCAACCGGGTAGCTGAAGCAGCGAAAGTAAAAAATGCCCCTCCTCTCCCCCCCCTCTACCATCGCCCAAACGGCGGCGTAGATCCGTTTATGTGCAGAAGCATGACTGAAGCTCCACTGATCACATCTGGCAGTACGGACATGTGCGGCGAAATATCCTGCCATATTCTGAACTTCGTGATATCTTAACATTCAAGTTACGCATTCGAATAAAACGAAATAAGCTAACCCTGAGCCGTACTTATTTTCGTTACAGTAACCGTAATACTCCGGAACAAAAAAGCCAAAAATCAGGGCGAAGCGTGATGCTTCTATTTGGGGCTTTCCGAAGCAACGTGACTAACATTCTCTATTCAGATATTGCTAAGGCATTCGAATGTCCGGTCATCCACGTTAACGGTGATCATCCTGAGGTAGGGCTCTCGTTCTCAACTGTCTTTAAACTTTTGACATTATAGTTTCTGGTTATAAACTCGCTAATTCTTAATTGTTCTATTCAGGATGTGGTTAAAGCCACACGACTTGCGATGGCATATCGACAGAAGTTCCGCAAAGACATATTTATTAATATGATTTGTTATCGTCGCTGGGGACACAATGAGTTGGATGATCCGTCATTTACGCAGCCGATCATATATAGGGTGGGTTTGGACATTTTTGAAGTGGGCATGAATGGGCAGATTGAGACTAATTTATATCGGATTTACTGATGTAACCTTCACATTCTAACTTAAAGTACTTGGCTGATGATCGTAAAGGTTTTAGGTAATCGAGAGCCGTGATTCGGTGCCAAGACAGTACGCTGACGAGCTCATAGATCAAGGTCTGCTCACCGAAGACGAAGTTAAGCAAGAGAAAGATGCGCATACTGCTAAGCTCATGGAGTCTTTCAAAGCTATTGATGCAGCACCACCCGTGTGAGTACAATACCAGTTCCACTAGGACGAATAAATAGCAAAGTACAAGAAGCTTTCGCACCGATCTCGGAGTCCAGTTGGGAAGGCTGACGTAAGGAGTTAACTCACGCGTAAGCGACAGACATTCTTTCTTACCGTTCTTTTGGGATCTCTGGCCTGGATCCAAAATTGGAACTCTGGATCTCGCTGCTTACTCGTTAAGGGTAGATTAGAGGATAACAAGCCATTGAAAGGGCAAGAACTTTTGGCGCTGTTTAACCCTGCTCAGGTTGCGCCACGATGTCGCCTTGCATTTGGAGTCAGTGGTATTCCAGTGTGACGTGAGTCAGCATTTCCAGCTGAAAACTGCATGCAAACCAATGTGTTTACCCTTGAATTAATTGACCAGTTCCTTATGAATGAAAGGTTTGACTGATCTCCGAAGATGTCCTTCTCCTTCCAATGCGCTTAGTAAACGGGCATGTGAAGCTATGAAACTGCTGCACTCCCTCCAGCATGGAAAATTCATGGACCACATAGGTGGTACCGAGAGAAAGGCGCCAAGCAAAACATTCAGTGCCACATCACCAGATTCGTATGGTTGAGCTCGAATATTCGGAGGGGGTGGCTCAAGAAAGGTTGCGACGGAAAGATAGGTGTGGCTTTACAACTGAAAATTTTTCTTGTATCTCATGCGGTATAAAAGTCACACCTGCTAGTTAGTCCTGCTTCCAAACTGCACAATGTCTTGGAAAGCAGCTCGTCCTACGATAGCTCGCTTATCCATGGTATCTTAGATTTTACTCAATTTCAGAGCAAAACATTTGGAAGGCTACTGGAAAGGGTTTGTACAGGCCCCAGCCGAAGCACAAAAATGGGACACTGGTTGCGATACGAATCTACTGAAATACATTGGAGCTGCATCCGTTAGAGTACCGGAAGGTTTTGTGAGTTGTATTCTGTGGACGGAAATTTTGTATTATGTAAGCAGATCATACTGGAAATTAGGGTCGAGTTTTGGTGGAGATTCATTAATAATATTGCCTAGACGTTTTCTGATGCCTTCAAAGGCAAACTGAACATCCACCTCCGACGACGGTCCACGAAGCGAAAACGGAGGGTAGTGGTACCCGAGTGCCGTCTCCTACTCCGCCCTCGCTATCCTTCCTGTGCAGCACTTCGTCGATTACATAATCCTGCAGCAAAACACTCACTAAGCGATAGAGAACAACCAGAAACGAGAGTGTGCGGATAAGTAGCGCGCTTGGTTATGGTTAGGCTAGTCGTGCGGCAGCGCTGGCGGAATACGGAGGCCCTCAATCAACCATCTGCATTTTTGAGAAGATAAAGTGGCCAAGCTACACCAGCTGCGGACATATTTACCTCTCATTGGCAAGAACCGATATTGGCGGTGGCTGTACAGTTTGCGTGAAAGTATTAACGACATGTGGATGGTCGAGGTGCACAGAGTGGGTGTAAGCTTCTTGAACTGAAAGGGTGGGTGGGTAACTGCGCTCTGTTTTTAAAATTTTATACAGAAATTCGTCAGGCAAAGATTTCCAAACAACCCTTTGCCCTAAGAAACATTTTTTCATTGCGAGAAAATTGAATAGTTCATATCTATTCTCATCTATTATATCTCCAGCTTCTCTCTTCTTGCAACCTCGGCATGTTAGTAGTGAGTGTTTCAATATTCTTGTGCCTTACGAGGTTGTTAGGTGGAACATTTATTAAAATGGCCTAACGTTTCGACTTAATCGTCGTCTTCAGAGGCCAGTGGTTCCACCGTTTGAGCGGATAGGTCCGCTGCCACACTAGAGCGCTGTCAGTAGAAAAAATTTTTTCTACTGACAGCGCTCTAGTGTGGCAGCGGACCTATCCGCTCAAACGGTGGAACCACTGGCCTCTGAAGACGACGATTCAAGTCGAAACGTTAGGCCATTTTTAATAAATGTTCCACCTAACAGAAAAAAACCGTCGTAAGGCACAAGAATATTAAAAGCACTCACTATTATAGTGTAGTTCGCTGCGGACGGTTGGGCGTGTCAGCCAGTATGAGTGTGTCACCCCGTCAAAGCCGTTCTCTGCCTTCTTGTTGAAACGCATGCGACAAAAAGTGGTAGAAAACGAGTAATACGAAGGATATGATACAGTATTGTCACTTGCCCGCTTCAACAACTGGTGGAGAACGAGTTTGGCACCGCGCCAAACGCAGCCGCACTGACACGCCCAACCGTCCGCAGCGAACTACACTATATAATCCGCTAAGTTTGTCTGTTGGTGTGAGTGTGTGTATGTATGTTTGTATGTGTGTTTGACCGGAAATTCATAACTTCCTTCAAATCAGCCGTAGAGAGTTCAAATTGATAAGTGATGTAGGAGGTGGGACAGGAACACTATTGATGGGTGACAGGAAGTGATAACAGCTGATAAGATATGATAGCGGTCATTAGAAGGGAGTGTTACCAAATTCATAAGGCGCGTCACAGCAACGGTGGAGCGTTGGTTCCAAGAAGTGATACTGGGGGCAGGATGGGAACAATATTGGTGCGTGGCAGGAAGTGATAGCAGCTGATAAGATAGGAGAGCAGGCCTTAGAAGATGAGGGTCACCAACTTTATAGCGCGGGCCACAGCAACTGTAGAACGTTGGTTCTAAAAAGTAAGGTGGGGTACAGGATGGGAACATTATCGGTGAGGTGGCACATAATTGATAAGAGCTGATAAGACACCGTAGCGGGACATAGGAAGGGATGGTCACCAACTTCGTAGCGCGTTTTACAGCTAACTGTATAACGTTGGTTATAAAAAGTGAGATAGGGGGATTGGAAATGTCATTGCTGGTGGCAGGAAGTGATGACAGCTGATAAGGTACCATAGAGAGTCTTGGAAGGGGACGGTCACCAACTTCATAACGCACGTCGCAGCGACGGTAGAACGTTGGTTGCAAGCAGTGATATAGGAGCAGAATGAAGAACCAGGGTCCAGAAAAGGAAGTACAAATCAAAATGGGCAAAAGACTTAATGAGCCAAGATGTTTATATTTCTCAGCGATATATTCGAATGCGATTCGACCGCCTACACTATTGGGTTTCACCAAACGTGAAAGTCCTAGAAGATTTTTGTCAGTGAGCGAATTGATAACATGACCACCGAACTAGACGGCACTGTGAAAAGCTGCTCGAGAATCAAGCGGGAGAGACGTAAAGAGGATCGTAATTCGCCGCACCGCCACGCGCGGCGATGGGCGCGGCGTTTTCATAACTCGTTTTAACCTGTCGAATGGAGCACCGGACTTCATGTAGACCCCGTCATCGTAGACACTCATTACTGTTTTCGGCCTTAAATTGCATATGTCGACCTACCTGCCTGCGAAACCGTCGCCTTCGGGCGGGAACGTCGCACGCGACACCCAGCAGCGCGACAAATTACGATCCTCTTGTCACATACCCAGGTAAGCGCTAGGATATAAGGGGCTTGCACTGAGGTTTCGATAATGTTACCCCCAAATTTCTTCCAATCGCTGAGCCGTTCCATTTCCAGCAAATGGTGGGTGTTTTCGTCAGTGTGATCAGCAATAGACATAGGGCAAACGTCCATTGAAAGGAATATGATCAAATGGGCCGTTTTTAAGAGTGGGCATTAGGCCAAGTGTTAGTGGTCAGCACAGAAATCCTGTCAGTAGTCAGTACAATGGGTTTGTACCATGCGCGCCAGTATAGTGCGTGCGTCACACAACTGGTTCACATAGTAACTCATGAGAAACATTGGGACTTTTTCAGTTGAGTCTATACAATCCCCCCCCCCGGCTTTTTTTGTGAGTCGATACGACGCCTCCCCTTCCGCTTTCTGCCCCTCCTCATCGAATCCGCCGTCGAGCGGGGGAGCATATAGTACGCCATTGCAGACAAACATAAAATCACCAAAATCATACCACACAACCCACAACACCAACACGTAAATACGACCCCGCTCTCCCACCGAAAGTAACGACGCCCTCCCCCTTTACAACGTCCGTGAAGCAAGAAAAATCAATTATCCGAATAAATTCTTCTCAGCCCAAATACGACCCCCCCCCCTCTCCTGGCGGCCAAATACACCGCCGTAACTATTGGGATTCTCCCAACAACATTCCCTGCTCGAGAAACCTATGGTTTGTCCCATGACAATTGAGAAATCGTACCGCCTTTAATGGGAAACGTTATGTCAGCACAAAATAAGATTGTCACCATGTAGTCGACTGACGACAGAAGCTTTCTTCTACATCAAAATAACTGACTTCATATGTAAGTCAGCAGAATTGCTACGCTGCATTTCAGAACGTGCACCCTCATCTACAGAAGACACACTGTGAGGCACGTATCCAGAAGATGATCGCTGGTCAAGGTATCGACTGGGGTACAGACCGAGGTTGGTACACTTATGGATTCAATCTTCGTTTTCTCAACTGAACTCAGAGATATCAGGTATCTCGACCGTCTGCTGATTTGGATGATTCTGCCCTCTGCGAAAAAATCAGCTCTGCGATTTGAGTGTTTGACATCAATGTCCAGTTATGTGCGCCTAAAACGAGAAGTGAAAACTTAGCAAAGTCCTAGGGGCGCCGCACGCGACACGCGTTGTACGGACGGCCGGTCGGTGCACAACTTATCGGGATAGAATAGCGGCGTGCAGCGTGTCTGCGCTGCAAGTTGCTTTTAGGGCAGAGTATATAGGATCCCACGGTCCTGGATTCCCATCCCCTACATGTTCAGGCGAGAAAACTACTACTACGCTTCGACAGCCGGGGTCTGTGCCCGCAAATTCCAACAGGGTGCATCGTTATGAGTGGAATGGTGGTGCCACTAGACCAAATAGTACACATGAAACAGGAAAAATCAAGCGAAAAGTCAACAACTGGAAACAACGCAGCAGATTGCTCTTAAAGCCACATACGACCCCCCCTCTCCCAACAACGACCAAATACGACCCCCTCCCCAGCCTAAAAGTACGACTCCCGATGTGTTTCACACAACAGTGCTGTACCCTGCATGCCAAGGGTGCCCCTCGCAGAAGAGGCGTTTTGTACTCAAAATAAGTTTGTTTTGTGGAGGTGGATCGCCTCGTTTCTGAACTTCAGCCTATTAATCGCCCATAAACTCAAGATTGTGCTTTTCTCGTAATGATAAAGATTTCTTGTCCTGTTTAGTCGCTGGCTTTCGGATCGCTGTTGTTAGAAGGGAATGACGTTCGGATCAGTGGACAAGATGTCGGTCGAGCAACGTTCAGTTTTCGGTAGGTTGTTTCGTCACATTATCTTAGCTCATTACCTAACAGTGAAAGACAAAATCAGTTCTTTACACAGATACCCTTTTGTTACCAGTTACCTTTGATGTCACACCTGTGTGTTCTCGCGAAATCTGCAATACCTACGTTGTCCTCCTTGATGAAGTGTAGTTTCGGTATATGAAAGGTGTAGTTCGCTGCGGACGGTTGGGGTGTCAGGCGGGTTAAGCTTGGCACTGTGCTGAACCCGT